TTATTCTACCATGTTTGAGATATGTATTATCAGTATCCGCTCGGAATGGTCGCCGGTCCATTCTTGGTTCTAGTGGCCTTAGTCTGCCCACTAGAGTGTGCACATGGTGTCCGGCATTTATGCTGGCAGATGTTTAGGTATCAGGCAGGTGATGATTATCACACCACCAGTATCAGATCATGATTATTAGTACCGGTTTCAGTTCAGTTCAGTTATATATGCTAGGATCATGTTATTGTAATTATTTTCACTGTTTATTTTAGTATGAGTTTCTACGGAGCACAGTGGACTTTAGTGCTCACGCCCCACTTTTATCATGTTTTTTTCAGGTCATGGAGTCGGGCCGGAGGTGTGAGATGACGATCGATTCAGGACTATGCTTATAAAGTTTAAATTATATGGGAGCTATGCTTATAAAGTTTAAATTACGTTTTTTACAGTTTGAATTTGGCTTAGCAGTGTTGTTGCTATCTCCCGTAGACTTATTTTCACGATCGCAGCACTGTTGTCATGTTTTGCCACTACAGTTTCCGCTGACTTTTCACTGTTTGACAAACTTAGCCCTTTTGGCTGTCAGCAGACTATAAGTCCGTTTTCGTAAAAACAGTTTGATTTAAAAGTAAGTCATGTATTATGGTAGCACTCCGAAACAGTATTTTGCAAACCAATCAGTATTTTATTAAAAAGGTTTGTATAAATGCACTCTGATTCTCATGTCAAGACGGGGTGTTACAGTTGGTATCAGAGCACGTTTCTGCGTCTCTGAAAATTGTCACGAGTCAGAAAATTTTTAAAAACCTGAATACGTCACGCTCATGCCTCGCCGACTACAGGTAAGTGTTGATTCATGTTTTTAAATTATAAACAAATTACTATGTCTGTGCTCAGAAATTTCTCAGCTATAATATAGTTAAGATGCTCAAGTCATGTTCAGAATCAGTAGTTCAGGATATCAGTCCGTATTTTCCAGTCATGTTTAGCAACTCGTCAAGAGATTTGTGCGCTTTAATGATCAGTTAAAGTATGTTCTTTGTATTTTGATCATGTTGAAATTTTTCGATATTCAAATGTCGTCCCTTAGAGAACCTGATCATCCGGCAGTTCCTCAGGCCACGATAGTCGCACAGTTCCGAGACTACCACCCCGACAAATTCTCCGGGCAGGGAGACCCGCGTATCGTAGATGAATGGGTTCAAGGCCTCGAATTGATTTTTGAGGTCATGGACTGTCCAGATCGCTATCGCGTTACTTGCGCACAGCTTCAGTTGACTGGTGATGCTCGACTCTGGTGGAATGCCTATTGGAGTATGCGTCCTGGCGAGAAAGAAGGTTGTACCTGGGACAGATTCAAGGAGATGATTCGGGAGAAGTATTATCCCACGTACTACCGAGCAGAGATGGAGTGGCAGTTTCTGTCGCTCAAACAGGGTACTCGTTCTGTTGATGAGTACGAGAGAGAGTTTACCAGACTTGGAGCCTTTGTTCCAGACCTGGTGCATACTGAGGTACAGCGAGCATGTCGTTTCACTGACGGGCTTTACCCAGCAGTCCGTCACAATATTGTAGGTCACGGGACCTAGACGTATGCTCGTACCGTTGCCATTACCCAGGAGGTGGATGCCAGCATTCGAAAGGAGGCAAACCGTGATCGTTTTCAGCCAGTTGCCCCCGCCCAGTCATCTACAGCTCCACCAGTTACACCAGCTACTGCCCAACCACCGAAAGGTCATAAGAGGAAGGGGAAAGGTGCCCAAACGAATAGGAGGACTCGACAGAGGCCACAGCAGATTCCACAATGCCCCACTTGTGGACGACTTCACCGCGGAGAGTGTCATGTTGGCCAGGATATTTGCTATTACTGTCACGAACTGGGACATTTTGCTAACCGCTGTCCGAAGAAACTCCAGAAGCAGCCACAGCAGCCACAGCAACCCCAGCAGCCACAGCAGCAGCAGCAGCCCCGACACCAGGCTCAGAAGCCACCCCAGCAGCAGCAAAGGGGCAGACAGCAGGGCCGTGTTTATGCGGTCGATCAGGCCGAGGCGGAACAACACCCAGGTACCATGTCTGGGATGCTTATGCTTAACGATATTCCTGTCTTCGCCTTATTTGATACTGGAGCGACTCATTCCTTTATATCACGACGATGTCTCAATGCCATCGGAGTTCATGTCAGTATCGCTGTCGATCCTCTCGAGGTGAGCTTAGCCTCGGGACAAAAGATAGTGACTTTAGCCAAAGCCACAGATCTCAGCCTTTTTATCGGTGGTCGAATATTGTCTACCGACGCTTATGTTCTCGAGATGAGGGATTTTGACCTCATACTCGGTATGGATTGGCTAACACAATTTCATGCAGATATTCGATGTCATGACCAGGAAATTACCCTTTATCTTCCGGGAGATGATCAAGTCACTTTCTTCAGCACTAAGACTCGTTCCTTGCCTCATGTCATTTCTATGGCGAAAGCCATGAAGATGTTGCGACGAGGCAACTGTCAGGGTTCTCTCGTCATCCTTGTCGATGATTCTCCGAAGGCATGTACACTTCATGATGTTCCCATTGTTCGTGATTTTGTGGACGTGTTTTTAGATGAGCTTCCAGGAGGACCACCTAACCGGCAGGTAGAGTTCTCTATTGACCTTATTCCAGGAGCCGACCCAGTTTCCAAAGCACCCTATCTTATGGCGCCGAAAGAATTGCAAGAGCTTAAGGCGGAAATTCATGAGTTATTACGACTCAGTTTCATTCGGCCGAGCGTGTCACCATGGGGAGCACCCATTCTTTTTGTTAAGAAGAAGGACGGATCCATGCGCATGTGTATCGACTACCGGGATCTTAACCGCTTGACGATCAAGAATAAATATCCGCTTCCCAAGGTTGATGATTTATTTGATCAGCTGAAAGGAGCTTGTGTTTTCTCTAAGATTGATCTGCGATCAGGCTACCATCAGCTGAAAATCAAGGAGTCAGACATTCCCAAGACCGCTTTTCATACTCGTTACGGTCATTACGAATTCATTGTCATGCCATTTGGCCTCAGCAATGCCCCTGCAGTATTCATGGATCTGATGAACAGTATTTTAAATCCCTATCTCGATCAGTTTGTCATTGTTTTCATTGATGATATTCTTATCTACTCTAAGAGCCAAAAGGAACATGAGGAGCATCTGAGGGTTGTTCTTGAAACCCTTAGACGAGAGAAATTATATGCAAAATTCTCCAAGTGTGAATTCTGGCTCCAGCGAGTAGCTTTTCTTGGTCATGTGATTACTCATGCAGGTATTGAGGTCGATCCATCCAAAGTTGCTGCGGTTCAGAATTGGTCGACACCGAAGAGTCCGTCCGAGGTTTGCAGTTTTCTCGGTTTGGCTGGTTATTACCGCAGATTCATTGAGGGCTTCTCCAAGATTGCCCTTCTTTTATGCCAGCCGACGAGGAAGTCTGTGGAGTTTGAGTGGACTGATCGATGTGAATCGAGCTTTCAGGAGCTCAAGAAGAGGCTAACTTCAACACCGGTGTTGACTATTCCCGATCCTTCTTGGAGTTTCACCATTTTCAGTGATGCTTCAAGACAGGGTTTGGGATGTGTACTCATGCAGGATGGCCAGGTCGTTGCTTATGCTTCACGCCAGTAAAAGCCACACGAACAGAATTATCCGACGCACGACTTGGAGTTAGTTGCAGTTGTTCATTCCCTCAAGATTTGGCGACATTATCTATACAGCGGTAGATGCGATATTTTTATCGACCATAAGAGCTTGCAGTATATCTTTACTCAGAAAGAGCTCAACATGAGACAACGCCGTTGGTTAGAGCTCGTCAAGGATTATGATTGCACGATTCAGTACCATCCGAGGAAGGCGAATGTTGTTGCCGATGCCCTAAGCCGTAAGGTGAAGGGTGACTTGACGTACGTTGTTACTCAGCAGAGCCAGTTGATTCAGGAGTTCGCTCGGATGCGGATTCAGGTGGTTGGCGCACTTCCTACAATCATTTCGGGGAGTGTCAGTTCTATGCAGGTTCAGCCGACGCTGAGGGAGAGAATCTGGCGGGAGCAGGCTTTGGATGAATTCGTTCGTACCATTGATGCCAAAGTTTGCACTGGAGGCGTCGAGGGTTTTCACCGAGGCACTGATGTGGCCTTGGAGTTTCGAGGCAGAATTATGGTGTAACACCCCGCTATCTTCTGAAATCAGAGTACGCTTTTTCGTAAATTTTCTGAATAAGTTTAAAAAAATATTTATTTTTGCGAAAACTGATTCGGAGTGCTACCGTGAAAATCTGACTTTTATCTGAAAAACCGTTAATTTTAAACTTATAATAAAAACGGTTGCATAATATCTTAACCGACTAATGTCGGATCAAAAACTGAGTTCAAGTACTGAAAAAGATAGCAGAAAAGTAGCGTGGCCAAAACATAACATATACATATCAAACCAAATATCCTGAACAGCTCGTCAGCTCACTCCTCGTCCCCGACTCTGCCACCTGAAAAACATGAAATACGTGGGGCGTGAGCACTAAAACACTGTGCTCCGCAGAAACTCATACTAAAGTAAAACAGTGAAAATAATAACAATATCATGATCCTGGCATATATAACTGAACTGAAAGAGAAGGGGGAACATGATCCTTTAGAGAGGAAGCGTCCGACCGCCACAACGTCTATACAAAGGATTGACCTTTTCTGCTTTCAAACTTGTTAGCCCAACCTTCCTTTCTGAAGAGTTAAAAAAATACTATGATGGCCCCGTTGACTGAACTGATAACTGATATCTGATACCGGTACTGAATAATCTGATACTGAACTCGTGACATAAGTCACCTGTCTGAAACTGAACATCTGCCGGCATAGTCGGACACCATGTGCACACTCTAGTGGGCAGATTAAGGCCACTAGAACCCAGAATGGACCGGCAACCATTCCGAGCTGATACTGAATATACATACCTCAAACATGGTAGCGATATTTATAATCAATGCAGTACTTAGTCTGAGTCCCCACCTGAACTGCTGAAAATGAAGGTAGTGCTGATGCCTGATCAAACTTTCTGATCCTAGGACTGATTGCACCCACTGCTCAGAATAATTAGGCCTCCGTGCGTACACTCCGGTGCTCTCGGCGAGGTGCGTGCGGTGCGGTTGCTCTAAGCTTACGTGTGGTGGGGTGCTAACTCCCTCTCAATCTCACTAACTCTTTATATGCTGAAATAGCCTAGTGCACATGCTGAAGAAAGGGCAAAATTTCACCCAAATAGTCCATTTATATACTAATCCGAGAGGAAAATTGAGGTGATGCAATGCCTTGATGTCTTCACACTTTCATGACACTTGCTACAAGATGAATGGCTCAAGGTGATTAGTCACCCCATGACCTCTCTCAAATTGCCACGTGCAAGAACTTAAGGGAGAAGGAAGTATTTCAATTTCCCTTGCTTGAAGCATGCCACGACAATTTGATACAAATTGAACAAAATGGCTACGGCCTTTGGAAAATAATTGGGGACAATTCCACTTACACTCACGGCAATTGCACTATTTAAGCATGCTTAATCATTAATTAAGCATAATTATATGCTTAATTATTTAATTAATCATAACACTTAAATACCAAAATTATTCCGAACGTAAACGGAACGTCGAAAATAATTTCGGGTAATTTCGACTAAAAATAATTAATTCCGAAAATAATAATCGACAACGTTATTATATCGAAACTAAAACATGATTTATATTATTAAACTGGCGGGATATTACATATGGTGCCAAAAGTCGAGGAATTGAGGAAGGAGATCTTGACTGAGGCTTATACCGCACCATATCTAGCCCATCTAGGAAGTACAAAGATGTATCATGACCTGAAAAGGTCATTCTGGTGGCGAGGATTGAAGAAAGACGTAGTCAACTCTGTGAGAAAATGTTTAATCTGTCAGCAAGTCAAAGCCGAACACAAGAATCCCATAGGCCTTCTGCGACCACTACCGATTCCGAGGTGGATGTAGGAGGAGGTTACGATGGATTTCGTCATGGGATTACCGAAGTCGTCTGAGCATCACGACGCTATTTGGGTCGTGGTCGACAGATTGACTAAGGTTTCTCATTTCTTGCCAGTATCGATGAATATGTCTTTAGACAAGTTGGCTGAGATTTATACCCGTGGGATCGTTCGACTCCACGGAGTGCCCGTTACTATTGTGTCAGACAGAAATCCCAGATTCACTAGTAGATTCTGGCAGAGTTTGCACAAGGCGATGGGCACAAAGCTATCATTCAGTTCAGCCTACCATCCAGAGATTGACGGTCAGACAGAACGGACTATTCAGACGTTAGAGGATATGTTGCGGGCTTTAGTTGTTGACAGGGGTGCTATGTGAGAGTCGTTGTTACCGTATGTTGAGTTCGCGTACAACAACAGTTATCATTCTTCTATTAAGATGGCTCCTTACGAAGCACTTTACGGTCGTAAGTGTCGTTCCCC